AATCTTCTGCAAACCGACCTCCTTTTCCTTCCTCTCTGCACACTCCCTCCACTGGGAGGAAGGGAGCAGATGTACAACTCTGCTGCTACTGCAGACCCAGTCCCAAGGTCCACGTAATCTACATCAGGATGCAAAAAAAAGCTTTGACTCTTATTGGACATGCAGTACACATCACAATCTAGCCCCAAGAAATCAAGAGATTAAAGTCAGAACATAGTTTAAATGGATCTGACTGAATAATTTTTAATGAATGCATTTAATGATGGATGAGTTTTCTCCCTTTTTTCACACAGATTGTAGTGAGTGGGTTGCAATTTACTCCACATATTTCTTCCTCTTTTAAAATTACTCACTGAAATTGTGTTTTCTTTTTCTTTTAAAGTAAAGGGCTGCCATTCAAACCACAAACTCACAGCTCAGTTGCAACTGGTCTCATAAATCACTTAATATTGTTTCTATCCTTCAGTTTAATGAACATAACTCACAGATTCAGCTTTGTGGTATATAGGCTCACAGAAAGCACATTTGAAATTCACTCTTCACAGTATTCCACTGTGTGAGCTTAACATTTATTTTCTACCAACAGTCATACTATTAAAATTTATTAATTCTATGAGCGTGTGCAGGAAATAACACCAAAGAAACACCAAGATGGCTGAAGATATGCTTCTAAATTTGCACAAATATCAGTAGAAATTATTTCTGCATTATTCATCCAAGCCTAGTCCTAAACTAAATACCTCTTGCTAGGAGCCTTAGTAACATATGATGAAATGTTTTAAAATTCCAGTAGATGTCACCACTTCTCCCCCCAGCAAGCCTGTAAGTACATCTAAAAGAAGCCTTTAAAAATACAGTTTGCACTTCCTCATGAGATGAGAAAGTTTAGAGATGCATTTTGCACTGGGTTACCCCTACGTGTTGTGACAGGAAAACAAACATTCTTCTAATTTGTGTCAATGGATCAATGAGTTCATATAACTCATGCCACTATTGTAAACCAAACCTTATGCYAATGAGCTCTCATCTTCTAAACAAGCGGCAGTCACAAATACAAAGCAGCTTCCAGGGCAGTACTCATTCTTCCCAGTTGAGGCTTCCCAAATTTCATAGTTTTCAAAAATATATCAATTATAACTACAGCACTGACTGTGACCACAGCTGGCTTTCCCACTATAGTTCTAACGATTTAAACTCATGTGCAATAATGCCATTGTTTATATTCTATGCCATTGTTTATATTCTTACATCTCCTGAAGGGGTTAAAAACTATCAAGCACTGTTTAAACATTTAAAACATTATTGTTTCAGTTCATCTCCCACCCAGCTACAAGGGGCCTCTAAATTAGTGCATTGTCAATAGATCATAGAGTAACAGCCAGAACTAACATGAAACTGAACAATAGCAATATTGTACTCCTCCANAAAAAAAAAAAAAAAAAAAAGAGAAGTGGCAGTAAAACCTTGATCCCCTTTACCAGACTACTCTTAATGCTTTCTATTAAAAGAAAAAAAAAGCAAAACAATACATGGAATTTTTGACATTGTTCCTCAGCTTTAAACTAAGTAAAAAATTAAAGACTTGTTGCTCCTACTGCCAAGCAGTTTATCAACCTRACTGCTGTGATTGCAGCACATGAGCAACTGGCCCTGACAACCTTCCTTAATCATTAACATTGCAACTTCCTGGAAGATGTTCCAGTATTACTGACACAATGGTCTCTGATCAGAGAAGAATAAATGTCTACAGTGAAGCTGATGGCGGCTTTCTAGATTTCAGAGGAGCCTGTTGTGAGCACACACAAACTGTAAAGAAGAGGGCTCTTCAGTGCACTGGAATAAAGCAGAATATAAAACACTGCTAATAACTGCTTAACAAGCTCCAAAGACATTTTCCTCTGCAGGATATCACAGGGTCACAAACACAAATAACATACCGTTCCCTCCAAAGACATGGTGTTTCTATAAATACTTTTAATACATTACCTTTAAGTATTAAATGAAATGAGGAATCTTTTGGACATAATATCACACAAACACATGGAAGAGAACACTCCAACTCTGTAGTTTTTCGTTTAAATGGGAAAAAGAGCAAGACAAAAAATGGGAGCATTCATCCACATTTACCTGACCTTCTCCTTCTAAAGAAATTATCAGAACTGTTTTCACAACCATTGTGAAAAACAGGCACTTTGGTGGCACTCTGCATCCYGTCTATCCTATCTGGGGCAGACATGCTCAAAGACAGTAAAGTCCCTTGCTTCCCTCTGTGGTCTACAGAGGAACCTAAGGCACTGGCCTACGCTAAACCTACAGAATTAGATTTCAAAAAAGACCAGAATCCCCCGAGAGTCAAGCACATGTAGTAGATTTCTCCTTCTCCAAGCTCTGAAACACTTACTAGCTTATCTCCTTCCACAAAGTCATTGTCCTTTTAGGGATAAGACACTCATATAAACGATCAGCTGTGTTTTGAGATATCTTCTCACTTCCTGCTGCATCCATATCTAGAGGTAGGTTGAAGTTTTAAAATCTCTAATTTGTAGTAATTACTACTCAAAAATAGTAAAGCCTTTTTAATTATTAAGCAGTACAAAAGTACAGAGTCATGCCAAAGAACAATAGATTTTGTTCTGGAAGTCACAATAAATGTGTGAATAAACACGCCAGTGTGTACACAGCATACTCCCTGAATGCTCATGCTTATCACAGGTTTTTGTTTTTTTTCCGAGTTATTAATTCTTAGTTCAGCATTGTGAGGTTTTACTCAGGTATACTACCTCTAAATTCAAACTGTAGCAAGACTCTGGAAACCTGAGGTTTAGCTCTCTATACTGCAATGCAAGCACACTGACTTACCACAGCTTCAAAGAAGGCTTCCCTASGTGATTCAGTCCACTCCATAATTATTCTTTTGATGCAGGTGAAAATGCACATGCCTGTTCCTGGATCTTTTTACATGCATCTTCTTGATTTATCATAAACTTTGCCTTACCTAATGAACATACATAATGGATATATCTTGTTAGATACATCCTTCCAGAACGACTCAAATGAAGATTTTTACACATGCTGATAAAAAATAAACATATAAAAATCAGACTTTGAGTCACTTGTTCTGTGCACTGAAACTATTAAACTACTTTGATGGAAAACTAAGCAAAACATCTATATTGCTAGGTCAGAACCAGATGCATACTAAGGTTACGGAGGACGATGACMTATCTAGTTAAAAGACACTGGCCATACATGAAAACCTTCAAGAAATGAGTGTAATTTATCTTTCAGTTGGACACGTGTGACAGGTGTTAGTAAGAATAAGGCAGCGCATTAGGCACACCCTCTTCTTCACTCAAGTCATTCAATCCATTTCATTTTCCTCTCTAAAGCAAATTACCAGTACTGCTCACTCCACATTTGTTTTTGCACTGCCTTCCCAAGGGCTTCCTTGGTCTATAGGCTCATTTGAATTATTAAAACAAAAAGTCACTCACTGACAGTTGGGAAAAAGAAAGAGAAGAAAGAAAAAAAATAAAATCTTTGATTTGACAGTGCTTTGTCTATAGTTCTTCTAGTACTTCCATCATTAATTTCTTGCTGAGGTTATTTGACACAGGACTGATCAATTAATTCATTAATGCTTAGTTACCAAGTCTGCTTGCAAAAGTTCCAACACCTGGAGAGAGGCTATTATACATTTGTTTTCTCTGGCAAGTTTTCTGGGGAATATACTACTTGTTCCTCCTGCTGTGGAACAATGAACACATTTCTTTTGTTCTAAGTAATCCAGAACACTCTTATTTAACAAGTTATTTCTCTTACTTAGTCTCTCAGAAAAATCTTAGGTATAATTAGCAGGACTAGGCCTTTAAAACTTAACTCTCCCATCTGATAACCAGCATATAGACAAGTACTACAATATAATAAATAAAACCTGTGAACAGAATTTCAAGCAGCAGAACTCTGTCCCACTTGGCACCACTTACATGAAAGAGGAACGCAGACCAAGGAGGAAGTTAAAGAGTAGAGATAAGGAAGTCTGCAAAACATCCAAGTTTCAACATATGACATTGTGTTTCTTTATTCCTGGCTCTTTAGCCTGTTAAGGAYTAAATTTGTTCAGCCACCCTACCAGTAGGAAGGTGCATCCAATTCAGATAAACAAAATCATTCTGGAACTACCTTTTAATGCTCAACAAGATATTGTAGTTTCATACTCCATGGCATCTTCCCTGTCACCTGCAGAAGTGAGAATACTAGTTCATAGCTTACATGGGCTACAGTATCACTTCAAATACATTAAATTTAACATAAATTAAGACTGAAAAGCAAAGATTGCTCACAATACCAAAGACAATGTAATTCTCATAGCTCATTAATGCTATTTTGAAGGACACAGTTTAAAGGTCTGACATTCAAAATATGTATTTGGAACAAGTCACATCAGAAACCAAAATTGGTCTTGTAATACTAAATGGGAACCTTCAGAATACATAAGACAGTCAAATTGCCCCAACAATTTTGAGGAAAAAAAGCTATTTTTAAACAGAATAGGTCAAATAAAATTCCACATAAATTCCATTTACTAAACACAATACACAATAAACTGAGACAAAAAAAATTTATTCTAGTAATAAAACATTTGGGGCAAACTATTTATAAACATTTGAAACAAAAGCTCAAATCTGAACACATTTTCCAAAGTCATTAGGGTTAAACCAGAATTACAAAGGATCCTGCTGTTCACTGCAAGTTTGTCCAACATTTCAAACAAGGAAAAACAATCAAAAGCACACTCAAAATCAAGGATTTTTAGAACAATTTAAATGAACTTACTATGCTTCTAGCAAACATAATAGTTTCCAAAATGATTAAGCTAGTATCGCTTACACACGGTCTCTACAGATCTGTAAGTCCACATATATGGACTTACACATATGTATATTATACAAACCCTCTACYGCATGCAACTATGTATACAAACTTCTAATTTTGATCCACCAAATTACCCATTATTGTGATACTGTTTGGATATTTTGTTTCATCACAGACTGAAATTATACATTTTTGTCTGAATCTGCTGCTTTTTTGTCTTTAAAAAATGGTCAATTTCAAATCCAATTTCAATGTCAAATGTTCAAATCCAATTTCAATGGTCAATTTCAAATCTAGAATTCACTCAGAATTCATGCAAAAAATAACATTTCAATACTCCCTACCAGGTTTTTAATGAGGAGGAAAGAGRAATATTTATTTTCTCATAAGCATTAATGTATGCAAAAATAAAGTACATAACTTTGGGTGAAAAATTCAGACTAGTATAAGTGGTTTTAGTGACACTCAAGTTACAGCAGGTGTTAGGTGGCTGTTTTAATATGTATTTTTTCTACTACAAACATGAGTTCCACCTAGATTTATTTTGTTTCTATAATATAAGCAGCCATATCTGTAACATGAACACATACAAACTGACTGTATGGGCCCAGATTTATGGYTACATATATACAGACTGAAAGTATATGTATTAAAATAGGTATTAAAATCAATTCATCTGAATTCATACAGTTGTATTGAAAATTAGACCATTAACTGCATTAGGCTGCTCACTGTTTGGCCTGTACCAAATGGCTTTAAAATGTTATGGGTCATAATATTTTGGGTTTAGTTAATAGCTGCTCCAACTGACTTTGTACATGACCATCGCTTTGCATGGTACATTATAATACAGAAAGTGACAGGGTTTTTTACTTGTAGCAATTGATCTCATTAAGAAGTTTACAAAACATAATCTTATATATTACTTCTTTTCATTGAGTTCTAGTTGTGCTTTCAGGGAAGCAAGGATTTACTGCCCAGGTAATGACACCATTGCAAACAGCACTACAGGCCTCCCAGAAACCAACGTGAGCTTGTGGCAGAGTTCATACATGCGGGCTGTTAGACTGCAGGACAAACTGGCACTGGAATCAGTATCATGCTTATGTCATATACATTCATTTTTAGTTTTCTGTTTTTAAAGCCTGGTGGACAGCACAGAGAAAAATCTCCTGAAAAGCACAACATCCTGATTCCCCAATGAAGCCAAAATGTTTTTCTGATTTGGTTACACTCTAAAATTATATATATTTTTAATCCTGCTATCATCTCACAGTTGAACTGCACTTCTAAGGACCCAGTAATTAATCTTTGTGCCTTGGGAGGCCTGTTATTTCCCCTGGATTTACTAATTATTCTAATCTGTAAGCAACAACACAGTCTTATTCACTCCATACTCCCTTTCCACAATTGAAGTGATTCTGTTTGTGCCAAAAAACAAGAACACTGACATTTTATCTAGCAATATCAGTTTCTAATGTTTTCCAATTTCATTCAAAATATAGTTCATAGTTTAATAAAGAGATTACAAGGAAAAGGTATTAAAACAAAAACTTCTTGACCCATATACTTAAAGTAAGAAAAAAAAAAAGTGGCTGCTATTTATCACTTGATGCAGGCCAAAATTCTCATCAACTAACAAGCTGTGGAAGACAACCACATCTTAACAATTATCCAGTGCCTTTTATCTAAGCCTCATATAATACTAAACAAACATTAATGGATTAAGATGCTTAATATACCTACAAGRTAACTACAGTCAGAAAAAAATCCTACTTACTTTTTTGGCAGATGTCCTAGTACCTTAAAGCTGCCTGATAATGAAGTGATCCAGAGAAACAGTTGCAAACCATCAAGAAACAAATTACAAATACAAATCCTCTTATACTCAACAGYGTCTTCTGTGAGAAGATAGGTAGAAAAAACACTCTTCAAATACTGCTGCTTGGCTAATTTTATGTATGATTTCTTAAAAGAAACAGCAAAATTCTAACAAATATTTATGAAAAGTGTATCTGTTTTTATGAAAAATCGTTTGTCAATTCCAAGACTTCAAGTCTTGAAAATCATCTCTTGAAAATTTCTCTCATTTCACATTTTGATACTAGTTAGAAAGACAGAAAATTGGAAATTTAAGTTATAATCAATTTATCTGCTCTGATTATTTAATATATGCACACACATTTTTTCACAGAARTAGACTTTGAATGTTAAAAACATACCCGCACATGGTCACTTTCAAGAATAAGTTAGCAGTGAGTGAGAAATTTATGTCTTATTTTGCTATCTTCACACTCAAGATTTGTGTTTGATTTCAGGAAGATTTCTCTAGAAATCTCTTAATTTGTTCAGGAAATTTGAATTACATGCATATTAAAGAAAAGAGTTGTATGCAAYTATGTATCCTATGATGAATCATTGGACCTCTGTTCCTCTGAGGAATCAAGAGGGCAGTTAAGAATGTCCTCTTAACACCATTAAAAGCCAGTATTTGAAAATTTCTTAGGATATTACTTTAGCTAATGACACTTAAGCTTTTTCATAATTCTATCAAAAACATAACATCATGAAGTTATTGTAACTGAAATTGTGACTGAAATTGTAACATCTCTTTCATTTTAAAGTATATTCTTGAAGATTTAAAAATTATTTTTGCCTAATGAAATGAATGCAAAGATTAATACATTATTTCCAAAGAATATAAAATGTTCTAATCATACTAAAACATCATCAAGAAAAAAATATTAAAAACACTTAAAATCAGAGCACCAAATGCTTAGCTTCATTACCCTGAATCAACTCTCTTAAACAAGATGACAACTGACGACAACTTTTTGTTAGTCTGCACTGATATGGTCTGCTGACAACTTCAGATATGGCAGGAAAACAAGCTGAAGTTACCTTTGTAAACCATTTAAATAAATTCACTCACTCTGTTTCTTTGCTACTACAAACCACATGTTTGTGGTTTTAAAATAAATAAGTCATAAATAATAGACCTAAAACTACATAAGAYTGTATACTATTATCTTGTAGCTTTTCAGAAGCTAGCTTGCTTTGAGGCTTTTGGCTCACATTATACAAAGCTCTCTTCCATATTTGTGCACAGCAGAAAGGAATCCACAAGTCTGGGCTTTACTAGCTGCTGAAAATCCAAATCTTCAAGTCCCTCTGGACTCATAACTGCTAGTCTTCGTAAGGCTGCCTGCAAAAACAAAACAACATAGCAGTAAAGAGTTATGGAATGACAAACTCTTTACTGCAGGATCTCTAACAGCCAAGACATGAAAATGACCTCCTCTGCAGGTCCATGGACTTTTTACCCTGGCTASTCTCACTACTGCGTTCAGACATCATATAAGTCTTCCCTAAAATGCAGGTCTTAAAGAACAACTCTCACTGGGCATCTTAGATAGAAGCAAGAGAAATAGCGGTATCTTAAAATTTAAATAAAAACATCCCCAAGAGATGGGGTGATAGTCAAAGAGCTTAGGCTGTAGACCTATCTCTGATTTGCTGCGTGTCTTGTACTGCGTCTTTGTGCCTCAATCATAATCCATCTGGCTCAGAAAACACCTCTTATTGATTGTTTTATGAAATGCCCATAGCAGAGACACTTGCACAGAAGAAACCTTCCATTTCAAACCATCTAGGAACAARTATTCACATTATTAGACTGCGCAACAGAAAACATTAGCCTTCCTTTGAACACTCTTTGGCTGAACTGTATAATGCCTTAGAGAGTCAAGCAGAAAATGGATTGTAATGAAAAACAGAAAACTCTTTCCCCCTCTTCAGCCATTTCACATACATATTTCCCTGTGTGTGTGTGTGAGAATGTTCACACACATACAGAAAAGGGCTGGTAATTCTGTGACTCAAGGCTTAGCAAAGAGCATTAGAGAATGGAATTTAAGAATTACTGAAATCTTACAGTCTGAAACATTCTAGTGAATTTTTCATTCCTCTGTATTGTGAAGATAGAAGTCATTTTTGCTGAAGTGCCTGTCTAAATCTCTAATGAGAAGAGAAACAATTGAAAGAAATATACATAAGGGTTGCAAGAGACCATGGCCTATATTTAAAATGTTACTGCAATACTTCAGCATTTTTAAATCTCTTGGGCTGGGGTTTCTGCATTTTTTCATGATAAACAAGGAAGGATAATGAAAAATGTACCTACCAGACATGCCACTAAAACCGAGTCACTGTTATTTCTTTCTGTTGGTGATCTGCAGAGCTTAACTAGGCGAGGTATACCTGAGTGACCAGAACAGTTTGGGAAGAAATAATTTAGAAAATTCAGAAAAAATAAGTTCCTTATTTTATCTTGTTTTTTAGGTACCTTATATTTAACTTCATAATTTAATCCAGTTTCTAAGGCAAAGATTATATGCCAATACTTTGGGACTGTCCACRGAGATATGCAGTTCAGAACAGTCCTGATTATTAACTACAAAGCATAAATAAATGCATTGTTTTTTACCTTGTATGCTCCTTGTCAAAAGAAAATAATCACCTTCTTTCCTTCCCTATCAATCATGCCACAGTCCCATAAAAAGCTTAAAAAGCTCTAGCCAAAAGAATGTGTCACTTCCTACCAATTTCATTATATTGGAAACTACAGGGGCCCAAGTTTTCTTTCTGTTGATTGGTCTGGGTTTAAGGAAAGGAATGGGAGAAGCAGCACGGTCAGTTGTCACAGCTACGTGTTGGGAGGAAGCTTCCCCTGGAAACTTCAGTTAGCATAACCTCCCTCAGATACTCTGGACAGAGTGCATAAGGAAACTCCCCTACAAACTGTACCAAGTGAGGTACAGTTTATAAAGAATAAAAAGAACTTCCTTGACTGGCAGTTCCTCCCTCTTTTTCAGTTTTCCATTAAGCAAGTGATACATCCTTACAGCTGAGTTTTACGGCTGCATTTGCCACCTCAGGATCTCGGCTGAGTCGCGCCAGMGTAACTGCAGATTTCTGTTGGACTCGCTCACAAGCGGCAGCTTCTGCTGAATTTCCTGAAGATGATTTCTCAAAAAGCATTTCCAATAAAAGCTGAACACCTACAAGGATGTCAAAGCCATAGTTAGTCCCTCTCCTACTAACATTTCAGTCCAGAAAAGTAAAGGAAAAAGTGAACTATGTAAATACAGACCAATCATTGTCTGAATAATGCATGAAACATGCCTAACACAGGTTTACAAGCTTGCCATTAGGATTTAGGCACATCTGATCTGGGCAAAGCTTCATTTTTCACTAGGAAGCTACAAAACCTCCGGATCTGAAAAAATTGCTCAAGCTCTCCCCCATTTMTGTTCAACTTGCTTTGAAACACACTGACCTAAATCTAGAAGTTAGCATTTTAGATGGATCCAGAAAGTTTTTGAAACAAAAGTAATTCTTTAATTGATTTTAAACTAACCCAAAGGTATTACTAACTTTAAAGTGGGTAATCATAAATTTCAGGTCTCTATATGAAGTTCCTTTTTCTGAATTACAGGAAAACAAGCCATTCTTTATGTATTTTTAAGCAAGCCTTTAAAAAGTCCCCCTCAAACTGTCCAAATACATAAAGCAATCACCATTCTAAATATCCTTCGTGAGGGAAGAGAGAACACTCTGGACTCAAGTTTATTGTGTAGCTGTTCTTGACTTCAGAATAGATAATTTCACTCATGATGAAATGGTTTTATTTACTGTAGGAGTACTGAGGAGTACTGTAGGAAWACTGTAGGAGCTGATATTCTTACTGCAATAGGACAAAAACAGATGAGACTRYTGATTTATACTTWCTAAATTATTTTAAATGTAAGGACAATTATGTGCTATTAGGCTCCATATGCCACCAGGCATTCAGACTACTTTAGCTAGCATCAGAAGCTTCTAACTATTAGAAAATTTGCATAAATAATTAACAAAATTAACATCAGAATCACACAACTAAATAATAATCAATTGACATACAAAAATATCAAGTCAAAGTTGAGGAAAAAAAAGCATTTAAACTCTTCCACATCTAAATATCCTTCTCAGCAGCATATCTATGACTCTGGTTTCTGATCAGCAGCTCATTATTATAGCWGCCAGACACAAGAGTTTTTACACACAAAATGAATGCCAAACCTTCTCATAAGCCTGAGGGCAAATGCTTCTGTGTGAACTTCCATTAAGAGTGTCTAAACAAATTCACTTTGCCATGTACATACTCTGGTTAATTATATATTTTACTGAGGAAAGACTTGAATAAATACTACCTTCTGTTTTCTTCTGGGAAATAGAATGGGTTRTTTTGGCACTGTGTGCTTGGGTTTTCTAATCGCTGTGGTCCAAGTCATACTTACAACTCCTAAATGGTGCAAATGTGCATAGGTATAGTATCCAGTAGCATCCAGTATAATACTGCTGAGACCTTACCAAGCTTCTGAAAATACTCCAATGTACCCCACATCCTGCATGGGAAGTACACATTGCACAGCAGGAGTCACCTCCAGCCTGAGGGATCTCTCTCTCCAGCATTGCCCCATCTCTCCCATGGAACAGGGAGGTCAGGTTAGAAACCACAAGGCCAACCTGACCCACTTCTCCTCACTGCACCAGCTCCCACACAGGGCAGGAAACCCATGTTATGCGTAAAACTGCATRGAGCTGTGACTGAAGCACTTTAGTACTCAAATCTATTCAATCTCTACACTCCTCTGGTCTCAAACCGGAACACCTACCTGCCCTAGGAAGAATACTCAGTGCACACTGCCTGTGTGCACACATGGATTCCAGCAAGTGAATTAGTTGTGTTTGGTCCTTACGAGTCATAATTAGAGCTCTGTGCACTTAACTGTGACTGACATGCAAAAAACAGCTAAATCCAATACTATATAGAAAATGGCCAATTCTATTTCAAGAACCACTGCTAAAAAGTGCCTTTTTGAACTCTCTTCTCCCATCTACAATTGGCAATCTCTCAGATCCAAATGGAGCCAAATTCAAACCATTCCTAACACATAACCCAATATTAATTTAAAAAAAAAAATAAAAAAACGGGGGCTAGGGAGAGGGGGAGAGGAAGGAGTACTCCTAGAGAGAAGCAGCAATAGACGTGATGCTTCACATTTACTGAATATCTCCAACTAGTAAAAAGTTGTCCTAGTATATCACCTGGCCACGGATTTGCTGAAAAATGTGTTATTAAATCAGTTACATCCTCCTACATCATCACTCACAGAATTATTAACCTAACTTCTCAATGTTCAATGTGGACCTATAATACCCAGGTTCTTTTCTAAATAATGAATTTCTCAAAATATATTTAAAGGAGTGTGGAGAAAATGCAGTAACTGCTTTATAGCAATAAAAACACGCCTCAAAACTTACAGTACTTTCAAATATTTGTGAACAATGTGACATAAAACACAGGCATTTGTAGTTCGGTATCAAATTATGTCTTTCAATGTTTAACAACTGCCACCTTACACACTTTAATGTGTAAGAACAAAGGTTTTTGAAAGGCTTCATGCTAGCCTGCATTGTATCTGGACACATGACACAAACCAAACAAAATTAGCAGTATGTTCAAAGGTGCAACATTATCTAAAGCAGTAGTAATTTATTTACAGTGCACAGAACCACCCTATGAACTCATTTTGCATTGTGTACCAACATGTATTACCCATCTGACACAGGCTTCACTAATAACAGTTAACTTTGCAACCTCTCTCCTTTACTTTGCATTGCCCCTTTGTCATTTATCCTCCTTCTCTGCAAACAAATATAGATGCTATTTAGCCAAAATACATACCATTTCCTTGAATGATTTCTGAAGCACATTGGTCCAATACAGACATGTTTGCCAATATTGTTACCACCTGTTATGAAAAAGAGAAGGAAATATGAGGCACCGTCTTGTAATCCAGTAATGCTACTTTGTTTTCTAAAACCAGCCTGGCAGAACTATGTCAAACACAGCAAAATGCAAGAGCAGTCTTGTAGGTGGACAGCCTACTCCTACCTTTGCGATTCCTCAGGAGTCTTTATCTTACCTACAGCTGCTAACTGAAATTTGGTCACGCAGAAAAGGTAAAGCCTCCTTTTCCTTACACTCCTATACTACTGCATAAAGGCTTGCCCTATAGAGATCTATGCAGCAGATTTCTTAAGCAGTCACATCAATAGAAAGATAAACATATGAAAAAAATAACCAAAAAAAAACGAAGTTGCAGGCTTAGGAAGAGTTCAGCCAAAAGCTACCATCCATGAAGAACAAATTCTGTAGTCACACACCAACTCCAGTAGAACTCAAAGTGAAGGCTAAGTGAAGGCATACATTCAGTACAAGTGATTTAGTGCTRGGCTTCTGTTTCAGCTGAAGTGCAAAGGAATCCTCACAAAAGAGTTGAGCTTTGAGGCCTGATTTAAGGAGGATTTAAAAAATATGTCTCCATCTTTCTGAAGCCATGTATCATGTGCATGTCAAAGAGCTGCCCCAAACTGAACTGGACTCAGGCATCTGTTTACATTTTTCTTGAGCTAAGACCGAAGTTAGGCTTTGTACCAACAGAAGCACTCTTTGCAATCCTGATCTACAGGGATCAATCCTGATCTACAGGACCATCCAAAATAGCATCATGTTTAAGATCAGGCACAAAGCAACTAGCTTAAGATGATTCAGCAAGCTTTGGACAGAGACTGGACCATGTGGAGCTATTGGCTTTCAATCACCTACTCCATTCAGTGATTTCACAGGCTTTCTCTCCAGCATCCCACATGATATTCTTTCATTTTTTCAGTGCTCAAATAACTTGCTTCCTGCATGCAAATATATGTCAATGTTAACAGTAAATGGGAAAACAAATATTATTTATAACCAGAACACAGAACAGAAACAGTATTCTTTTTTACATGTTCTTATTTTTTCTCTATTCTAACTAACACCAATCAGCCTCAAAAAYAAAGGTAAATTTGAGAATTGGCTATCAGATTTTAACTGTACAGCATCAGTTCACAAACAAGCAAACTTCTTAGATGAAAGCAGGCAGGAGATTAAACCACCGTTCTGATCTCACTTTGCCATTTTAGTAACAAGGATGACTCATATCTGATGCTGTGACATAAAGGTCTTCCACTTTTGGAGGTAGTGTTACAGTGTCATCACTCTGAATAAATATTCTTACTTAGGATGCAAATGAGTTGCTGAAACTCTAAAGAGTGACAGGTAAAAATAYGGTAACTCAGTGCATGTCTGTGTATTTATTCCATATTAATTATTAACAGTGTATCAGGCAGAGTGTGTATGTTTCTCATTCTAAATTATATCCTGTTAATGAAAATTACTTCCTCTATGAAGAATCTGTACCCCATGTGGCTCTCTCAGCCACAGATGAAGAATTCAATTAACCACAATTTGAATATGTGCCAATTATTTCACTGTTCAAGTTATTTTGTCTAATAAGCATTTTCCTATGTAAAAATATTTTGTGCATTTCTATTGACACTAAAAATTGAGTGATGGTTATAGCTAAACCTTTGATTATGCAGCCCCCTATACTTTGTCAGGTATCCATGTTCTAGCCTAAGGAGTTTATATTTAACTTTCTTCAGAGGCATTCATATATGGCCTGTTTACTATATATGAGCCTATCGATAACTGTCAAGTTCAATTACTGATTAACTCACTCCATATAAAGAGATTTTTTTCCCCCCCGAAAGCAAGACACAGTTTCCTGAGATGTGACCAATATAGACACAAACATGAAACAGCATCACGTAAACACGTAATAGGCAAGCTGGATCAAGAGTTTACTTCAAATACTATACTTTTCTACTTTATAGTTGACTATATAGGCAGCTTAAATGAAAATTTCCCTTTGTAGCAGAGACCAAAATTCAAGGAAGTTTATTACTAAAGATGAACTCTCCGGAGGAAAACACAAACTTACATGTAGACTCAAATTGCTTTGAAAACCAGCACTTCTGGGAGCACTAGTATTAATGAAGCCTGATTTCTTTCAGATATCCATTTGATCACACACCATAATCAGAACATTTCTAATGGCACGTCTCTCACAGTAGATTATTTTTGTCTAATGATGCATGGGCTCATGCTGCAATCTTTACTTCAACCTCTCTCTTTCCATTACCTGTCCCATTAAGGGGGCAAATAGATAGACATTATTAAGAGACATGGAGCACAAGCAAGCACACATATATAGAGGAGACTGCCTAAGCTCMATTTGCATCGAAAAAATAGATGAAAACTACTGGAAAAGAAATAGGAATGGAAGCCACTTTCAGAATTACAGAAATTTTACAGTCATAAGTTTAAATTTATAATACTCAACAGACAATCTCTAGCATACAACTACAATATTTAACATCAGTTTAATTATTTTTATAAAACACATCTTGAAGAAAATTAGAATCCAATACTATAAGGGGACTGGCACCCGTGGCAATTTATAATTCTCGCAATGCTTCCAGATTCCTGTGCCATACAATGAACTTGGAGTCAGCTGAACGGGCACCCACGCGAAAGGAAGATGGAGCACATGAGCTCTGATCATCTGTCAAGCCCTACGACATCACGGGAAAAGTTTGTGCTCAAGCCATTCACAAATGTGAGCACCCTAGTGCCCTCCTGAAATGCAGGTCACATGGAGGTGCTATTAAACAAAGATGGCACACTTTTCAGAAAAAAAAAAAAAGAAAGAAAAAAAAAAAAAAGAAACGATGTTAATTCAGCATACCTTGCCAAACCTATAAGAGGATTCTTAAGAGTGCTGCCTTAGAAACAATGTGCTACAAGAACTGAAGGCTTGAAGATCCCTCCAGGGTTAACTTCCCACCTTAGCAAATTTCCCACCTGCATTTCTTCTACAATATTTGTCTTTGTATTTTTCCTTCAGTGTTGGTTGTATTTTGGGTATCTAAATCTCACATTGATCAGGGGATATTTTTGCATTTATTTCATGGCCAGTTAAGAGCTTAGCTTATTCACTAGAGTTTGGTGTCTACTCAGTTACCTCTTGATCTTCTTTTTTTGGTAAATTAAACTGATTTTTTTTTTTCAGACCTGCACAATTATTTCTGAGACTTGTTACTGCTAGTTTTCCAGTTAGTTAACACGTACTTTATGGGAACACACATTCAAAAGAATTTGCAATATCAGTCCTAACTAGCAAGGGAATTACAGCACTCAAATCCTGCAGTAATGAAAACCAGAGATAAATAGACTTGATCAACAAATACCGAACTGCCTCACAGATTTGCCTGACACCAGAGGAAAGCTGAATTACTCAGGTCAGTGTCACGTGACAAAAAAGCCACCAGTGTAACCGGCCACTGGGGTCTCTCTGTGCGCTCACCACCTCACTGTTAATGTGTGCTGAGCAGTATCACCCAAGCCACGGAACAGGGACACACACTAAAGCACAACGTGCCACAGCGAGAATTTTCAGAACAGCTCATATTTAAGCATCTSCTATATAGGCACCGATTTATCAAAACATTTAACATGCAGATACTTCCAGTGGGAATAATATGATTTTTCACAAGGTTGAACTGAGACCAATAGTTAATTTTTAGAGCTTTGAATCTAGAAGACTTTGAAAATTCACCTTTTAACCACTCACTGGTAACGAGGCATGCAGAACTTCTGTGTTTCCACCCACCCTTTAAGTACACAGCAAATTTCTCTATTTAATACACAGAGCAGTGTTGGCACTGCTGGTGACTAATAAACAAAACCTACTTCTATCATTTGAAAAGAGCTTTTAGTTCCACACAATTTCCCTCCATCCTCCCAGTCTTTCACATCAATTGAATTTAGGAAAGATGAAGTCTCCTTTTGATTTCTGTGGCCTGGTTTGCCCTGAGCCATATGAATTACATTTATTGAGATTAATTCAAAATTTCAGAAAACATATGATAAAATAAGAATCTTTAAAATAGTTTGTTCAAAATGTCTTGAAAGAAAAAAAAAGGCCGGTTAAGGAAGTGCTCATGATAACAGAACGTAATCACAAATACCACCACCATTTTTTCCCTTTTAAACAATTAATGCTACTGTTCATTAACCAGTGCACATAGATACCGAATGTTTGCTACAAAAGTAAAAACTAGAAGAAAACGCTTTGTTATAAGCTAAGAAGGTACAGATGCTGAGAGCATAAATCTCAATTTTTTTAGCAGCAGAGAGGTTTAAACCTGAAGGACATGYAAGAGAAAACAGGCTTCTTCAATGCTTGAGATAAATCTCCCCTGTTAAGGATGAGTTAACACGACCCAGAGGTGCCTCTCGCTAGTGTGAAACCAGCTACTTGGGCTAAAAGATGCAACAGGATTTGGAAGATGAAAGCACACATTTGGGGCATTAAAGAGAAAGGATCTCCCACAATTCACCCCTCTCCCCCTCCCATAAAAGGTCACTTACCTCGCCTGGAGAGCTCTATAGAGGTGAAAGGTGTGCTGGCAATGTATCTTTGTTGATAATAAAGGCACACTATTTGGTAGTCCCAACACAAATAGACATAAATGAGAATTACCAAGTAATTTAATGGAATGGTAAAGCTGATCAATACAAAATTGCTAATCTTAGTTAATTATTCCTTTAAGGCTGATTCATCACTAAGTAAAATTAATTTTTGCAACATATTATAAGTCTTTGCGGTAATTCACTCAACTGAATGCCACAAGGTTAAGCCAGAGTGTGACTGCAAATTTCCAGATACCTCCCTTCAGGGAGAAAGGGGCATCTGCCAACTAAACTGAAGCAAGACGGAGGTTTTTTTCTGAATGAATATTAAAAATTTCTGACTATTAAAAAAATCCTGAATTGATGATTCAGATCAGCCCATCTAGAAACATCAAGAGAGTACACACAGCAGGAACAGGAATTTCTATAATTTTTCCCTGATATATGATATAGCTCAAAAAAAATTTCTGTGGATCTGCTGACTACTACTTTTGGCTAGGAATTCAATTTCCTTCCTAAAAGGAGGGTAAAAAATATACCTAGGTAAACAGATCAATGGGTCTGACACCTGAGTGGTAAGAGGTAAAGATGCCCATTAAATAGTAACAGCAGCTACAGGCAGAATCTGCTGCTGTATTCGTGACGATGGAAGTGCAGGTGCAGCTATCTACATGCCAGGGAGCTACGTTCTTGGAACTGGGAGGTAGAGCCATGGAGACTAAAACTAAACTGGTCTTACCTTTRCATGAGGCACATCCTTATTACATTTTAACTTTTAATTTAACTTTAATTCAACATTTACTTCACTTGACAATACTGACTAATGTAGTTATTTTGAAAATAAGAGTAATCAGATTCTCTCCCTCTCTTTCTTTTTCCCCCTGTTAAAGAACCCTGGGGCCATATGGGAATGTTTCAGATGAAGATTCAGGAGACTCTCCATCAAACTTCCTTCTTGGTATTAGAAAGCATCCTTGCTTAGGAATAGACTCAGTCAATCCAGAACACCTTGTCTCCCTAGAGCAAAGTACATTTTGGCCTAAGAACCAACACACAGTTGTAGGAAATAATTTTGCTTTTTAATCTGGGCGCTTGCATTGAGGCCTGAGTATGCAGGAATAAGCCTAATTATTCCCAGGGCAGGAATCTACTTCAACTGCCGCTAATCAAAGAAGACTGGTCAGGAGTTATTCGTGTTGCCTATCCTTGAAGGTAATAGCTACTTTCTGGAGAAGAAAATAAGAATCAAGAAAGCAATGGGAATCTGTAGAAACGCTGCTTAGATAAGCTCTTCTGCTGAAAGCTGAGACTGAAATCACAACCTTCTCCTAGGTAGGGATTCTCTTTTGAAAAAAAAAAAGTACTGTGACAAAACTCACAATATTCTAATCCTGTTATCTCCTGATGGATTAAGGACAAAAAGATGTCAAAAGCACCAAAATGCACACACGATCATCTCTTTCTTACAGCTTTGTGTTGGCTGCAGCCTGCAGGAAATTCTTTTTCCTCTGGTATTTGCAGTAAACAGGAAACTCTGCTTTATCATAGCCTTATTGTACTGTGAATCTGGCAAGCAGGTAGAAAATAAAAATTGCAATGAATCGTGCTGACATAGCATGTTTCCTCCAGAGAGCCTTTACACTGAGTAAGCACACTGACTGCCCAACTTTACAGATGATTAAACAGAAATGTACAGAAGTTAAATTATTACTTCAAAATCAGAGCAGCAGCAAAATTAGGAATTGATCCTAGGAATTAAATCCCAGCCACATAGAATTATGAAAGAATATCAAAGCGTTCTTCAACTGACCTAAAATTTTACTCTTCCAACTGAGTCTCGCTTTGCACATTGGAGCATTCTGCCTTACACTACATCATGTCTAATCCAAGGCACAGAATTTTAACTAAACAGTCATTTGGTCTCAATAAGATTCAGTGTTTGAGAGATTTAATGTTGGACCTCTGACATGTAACAATGTAACACTATGTTCATATGTAACATGAACACAGCATGTAAATACGCAAAAGGTTTCTTTGGAAAAAAAAGCAATTTTATCTCATATTTCTTGTCAGATGTAAAAAAGATGCACACCTAATGTGGACCACACCACTCAAACTCCACTGCAAATCCCATATTCTTGATACACGTTAAACAGTCTCAGCCCATACTGCCTTCCATACATACAGGAAAATTTGGACAGCACTGTAACAGAATAGAGCCAGGAATTGCAGAGTCTTCATGATCACAAACAGCAACAAAGCACACTTGCAAGGGGAAATAAATTGCTCATTACTCAAGAAACTCAGCCTGAGAAGCAGGACTGTTAGCTACTGTCACCTGTAACTGAGGCTGAAATTTTGAAAAAGAAAGCCAAGGAAGCTGTTAATACGTTTGTGTCTTTAGAAAAGATTGCTCTCTCKCTTTCACTAGGAGATAGGCAACATTTTACAAAGTCAAGATTTCTTAATCCTGAAGTAACATCTATCTCTGCCCTCTTTTTGACCCTACAACGTTCAATGTAAAAGTGAAGAAAAAAAGTGAAGACATAAATGTCTTGAGCAAATGGAGGAACGAAAGAAAGGATGTAAGAACCTAGAGGAAAAACAGTATTAATGGTTTCAAATTTTAATCAGTGAGTAGGTCTTAGCTTAAAAGTCAGCACATCTCTCAGATACSATAAAACAGGAAACATTTTATCAGTCCATCTCCATCTCAAATCTTTTGGAACATAATTCACTGATTTTGAGCCTAGAAATAGGAATAACTACTTCAGAACTGATGTGTTCACTGCACATTAAGTCTTTGTCTCCCTGAATAGCAGCAGACCAGAAGCTGTTAGACTGCACCTCCACAACTTCACAGGTAAGGTGAGAATACTTGCTGCACTGAGGAGACAAGTGGGAACACATAGGGAAAAAATTCATTATTCATAAATATATTGCATAAATTTATATATTTCACATTTTTCTAGGTATGGTCTAGGTAAAGCAGTCTTTGAATGATGAAGCTTTGGGTTAAACCCTTCTTCTGACAGTGCTTAATCTCCACTGAGACATCTGACTGTATGCATTATGCAGATTCAGCATGGTGCCAACCCTTCTCTGACAAGAATAATTTGATGTTCCTTTAAGGTGAAAAACCTGAAAATCTACAAAAAAAAGGTATCTGCAGTAAAAACAAGAACAAATAGCACATTCATACCTATTTTGACCTAAACCTAGATATTAAACATTGTGGAAGTTATCGCTTTGCCCAAGAACTAAAATACAAAGTTTTTTTGTTTTTAATCTAAGCAATTCTAATGTGATAATGCTGGTCATAGATACAATACAGGCTGCCATAAACAGATGAACATCTTGTTTCTGATTAAGACCAACACTCATCTCCAAATTCTTACTTGATCCAATCTAACACTGCATGAAGAGTACAAGTAGTAGTTATTTTTTCAAGTAGTGAAGGCAGAAAAGTTCATCGCCATTTGCATTCAAAGCCTTTCAGAAGTAAAAAGACACAATACTCGCAGAGGTACTTGGCCAGGAAAATATTTTCTCCAGGCAGCAAAAAGTGTATCCAACATTCACTTCCTGAGCAAAATGTTACCTATTTATACCATCATGGACGGTGGCAAGTAATCAGTTCCAGTTTCCTTAAAAGGCTGTACACAGTGAGGATAGTGTGACTTGTTTAAGAGAAGGTTAAAAAAAAAAAATTAAGGAAAACAAAACTCACTGTTCTTTCATTTCTCCTATTTTTGACTTAAGGATGACCATGCTTCAGGCTGTTTTAGCAAATTATCTTTTTTTTTTTTTTTTAAATCATCAGTAATGCCAAAGCAGTGATGTACTTGGAAGTAGTGGATAGACTTCTATAGGATAATTGTGTCACAAAGCTTTTTACCAAAAATTGGTAAGCTTGAGGGGCTCTATTATAGCATTTTATCAAGCAAGGAATATAAAGAGGTGCTGGGGGTTAAGATGCCGTACTTCATGGAGCATTGCCATTTAGAAGTTTCCTGATACTCCAGCAGGCTGAAGTTGCAATAGACTGTCAAATAGTCCACTACCTAGTAAGTGTATTCCTTTAAAAAATTGCCAATCTCACATGACAAAAGAGCTTTCTTTGCTCATCACAGAGCAAACAGCAAATCCAAAACTGGAAACCAAAGTTATGAGAAGGCATAAAAGGAACAGAAGAACATGAAGGCTTGTACATATGAAATAATAATATATAGCAAGTTAAACATCTTCGCTGAGGTTCTTGGTAGCTCCCAGAGCTACTAATACAGTGATTATGGTCTATGCCATCTTTTCATCAATATTCCTGAGCTGGAAATGTACTGTGAGCTCTTAATACAAGCTAAAGCAGCCCTCGTAACCCTTTCTTACCATTGAAGTGAGTGCTTCAGTAACTAARCCTATCCAGAAAGAGTCTCTAAAGTGCTTTGATTTCCACAGACTGTTTCCTGTTGAACGCTGCATAGAGTTTTCTATGGTCGTACACATCCTCAGCTTATATAAACCACTCCTGGGCTAATTCAGAAGCATTAAGAGGACAGATTGGTCCAGACTGAGTTCTGGGCATATATTCTGAGGTATATCCTGAGTTACATTTGCAAAGCCTCACAGTTAGCAGAGCTGACTAACAAACTCTACTTAAGTGTGGTAGCTGCTGAAATCTTAAAGCCTCAGAGAGGAATGTTTCTCTGCTGAGCACATCACTGTATAGGCCATGCTCCCCTGCTAAACCCCACTGCATGGCAGTGCCTGACAGGAAAGAAGAAGCCTCTCTGACTTCATCTGTACATTAACACATACCTTTGATTTTCTGCAGCTCTTCAAAGAGAAAGCTTGAACATGCAAAAAGGAAACACAAACTACCTCAGTGGTATTTGCCAGGAGAACCTGCAAACCAGCTGTCACTTAAGTCATGATCCAAAGCCAATGGACATCAATGGGCTGAGGATCAAATCCTTGCTAAGCTTTTGGAGCTAAAACATCCTTGAATTGACTGTATATTTAGGCACCCATCTCCAAACATGTACACATGTATCTTGTCTGCCTCAGAGCCTTGTCTGTCAAGGTTTGAGTATCTCCTTGCGGAATGGACTGCCACTGACCATTTCGTTCAGTGTTGGCTCTGTTAGGTTTTACCTCSCTATAACAGACACAGAACCAATAACCAAACTTGGCACAGTGACACCAACTGTTTGACAAAACTGTGCTCAGACACAGCACCTTGCTGAGAAACTGCTCACCTGATCCCGGGAATATGGAGTATCCACTATCTGCTTGTCTGAACACGCTGCTAGAAGAATCTTCATTGCATTTAACTGAAGCAACATTTCACAAGCCACAGTGTCAAAGAAAGTAATATTGGCAAGAGCTGCTGAAGCTAGCAGGAAAACTTCACCAGATGAGGCTTCTTGGCACAGTTCTAGGAATGCAGAAAGTTGAGAAAAAAAACAGCCATTCCTTCTCTGCAAAAATCATGTTTATGTATTTCAAAGCATTATTTCTCCAACTTCCTTTGTACTTTTGAGGTTTGTACCACAGGCAGCAAAGACARTATGAACCCAGAACACCAAATCCTCCTAAATATCCATCTAATTTAATGAGATGACAGTCTCAGTATACCATTCTACAGAAAATAAGCCACTGAATGCTGCTCAACGTAAATCATTACACATCTAAATAAAATCAGACACAACAGGCAGGTGTCTAACAGTAATTGACTCATAAGACAATAATTCTGTTGTGCATCTCRATCTTTAGAGCAAGACATATATATATATGCTGTATTTCTCAATCTATTCCTCCAAAGTAAGACTGTCTAGAATATTTTCCAGCTTCTGTAAGAAGTGCTGGGGGGCAAAGCTGTCTTCTACTTCCTTGCACAAACGTATTTTAACTCAGACCTCAATTACCTAGGAGTTGAATTTCAGCACGCTTTAAAAATTAAACATCCTACAGTAATTCAATTCCTGAGTTATAAATATCATAAAGAAACCAGTGTCATATTACTGAAAGGGCTTTCCCAAAGTTACACACATTCCATTTTTAATGGACATATTTCTTGGGCAGAGCGTATGTTACTAAAAAGCATGTGCAGCTTGGACAGTGACAGTTGGGGAAATGTTCCCTTTGCTAATCTTTCCTGGGGGATCTTTTCAGATTGTCTCTTGAAGCAGACTGTGGTGCACTGTAATGACTGGTACATAACAACAGTCAAAACAGGTCAGGTCAAATGCCTCTAGCAGTTTACTGGCAGCAAAATCAATCTCAGTATGAGTTAATTCCACCCMCTGGATTCAGGACAGGACTGTAAATATTTGCTGCTTGTCACTCTGGTCACTGGAAATAAAAGTGTTTCCTTGACTGCAGCCCTAGTTATATTGGACATTTCTAAGGCTGCCCGAGTACACCTCAGATAATGAATTCTGCAGTCACTGCAGCAATGCACTCTTAGAGCAAACTGCTCTAACTTAAGTGCAGGCACTGGGCTCAGCAGATACACATGCAGGTAAAATGAGTCTATCTGTTGCGCACAAGAAATCAAACCAGACTGTCAAACTACTTTCTGACATGAAGGAGACTTTCTGGATTACACCTGCTCAGAAAGAATACTTCTGTGATAGCTTCTGATTTGTGAAAGGGGTACAGCACAGTGTGAGAAATACGACACCAATCTCTGCGGCAAGTCACACGAAATACAATMTCATGTTTTCTTAAATATTCCCACCGAGCCAGGTTAAGAAAGGGTCTGCTGTTATCTTTGCCCCATTTTACCACAGGTCAGAGGCCTAGGCAAGAAACGCAGTTTTTTTCCTTGCATTAGTGTGCACAGATAGCTTTTCTTCAGGGTCAGGAGGGTATTTTGTTGAGTTCTGTATCCGACTCTGAAGTTAGAATTTTACATGGATATTATTTTGAGAAATGTGTATACGCTCTGTTCAAAATTGGACTAAAGTAAAAAATATACAACTGCAGAATACCTCAATTCTGCATGTTGAATGTTTGAGTTCTTTTATCTGGTATAGATAAGGCAAATGTTCTTTAGGAAATATTGCTAATAAAAGTCCTGTCTCAACCCATCAGCCTAACCAAAGACTCAAAAATCCCATAAAGAACTTACTGACAAGTGCTGTTACAATTTCCTCCATATTTTCCAGGAAGCTGCTGAGATGCTGAGTGAAAGTGAGATGTGGAGATGTGATCTGTGCAACGACTGCCGCTGCTTCTGCACGAGTGGCTTCAGAGTGGCTGCTATCAGTAAGAATGTCAGCCAAGCAGAGGATGCCATCAACCTACGGAAAACCAAGAGGTAAGCCATGGAAACCAGGGTTAAGCTGCATGAAACACTCCTGCAATGAAAGCAAGGTTCACTCTTTTCTCTGACTGGCCGTGTAGCTTATTTACAAAAATTGGACAAAACCTGGTGGCATTTCTAACATAAGAACTCAATTTAGTAAATAAAAATCAGTTCAACGTTGATTAGCTCAATACTATCCATTCAAATTAGGGCTGTCTACACATATTCCTTATTATTTAAAAAATAACAGAAAAAAATAGGTAAAAATTGTGTAGGTTTGTGCTGTTTGACTGACTGAAGTCTTCTACATTAATTCCTTTCCCAACCTGGCTAAGTACACCACGCCTTGCTCTGGACTGTAGTAAACCCACTGACACAATGAAAGGCTGCAACAGGGTTTAGTCAGTGTGATAGCTTAAACTGCAGAAAAGTGGCATCTGTTAACAACCACAATCAGCAAATGAGGGTTCTCTGTGGACAAGGACATAAATCTATCAACTTTAAAGTTAACAGAACTGTATTTCTTCCACTGTTTACACAATTCCTGAACAATTCATCATATTGCCAAGGTAGGTAGATGTGCTTAGAAGGGACAGCAACAGCATGAAAATGCAGGTAATAAATTAACAATGTGTTTATGTCCAATTCACATAAATTTACTAACACCTTCATTTGGACGAAATTAATATAACTGTGGGGACAGACTTTGACCCACCACTGAAAAAATGATAAAACAGCTTTTACAAACTGCACTGAGTAGCTTTTTTTTTTAAATACTTTTTTTTTTTAAAAAGACACTTTAAAAAAAAAGAAAAAAAAAGAAAAAAACTCCTTTTTCTTTATTTGAAATCCTGAAATGACGTGGGATCGATTGCCCTATTGATAGTTAGACAGTTTATAGGTACAAAGAGGAGTTATGCAGGCTTACATTTTAACAGGCAGGTAATAAGCCAGGTCATATTTATTTTACAGACTGACATGGTCATAAGTTAATTTAAACTGTATTCTCTGTTTAAAATTTCCTTAGAAGATGTATGTTTAAGCCCTATCATTCTTTTTTCCAAATATTTTTAGTAGTTCTCTTATTCACAAATCTGTAATTTACTAACAGAGAATGCTGAGTTATCTTAATTAGATATTCTGCAATAGGCATGAGTTAAATTGTTTGATTAGCACTGACAGTTACTGTATTTTACCAGAAAAGCTCTCAGATTGATGAGCACAAAAAGCACCCCTTGCAAGATCATTCATTGGGATGCACATTTCAGTAGGTAATAGACTAAATCACGGGAACCCTAATAATATGAAACAATACAGAGGGAATTATATTGTTGTTTTTCTTAAAGATTACAAATGGGATTTAGTACAGAAGCTCAAACACTCACAAGACGAAGAAGAATAAATTTTCAACGTTAAACTTCTTTTGGACCAGCTTTCAACATTAGTTTACCCCTAGCAAAAGATTTCCTCCTAGTTATGGCAGAAATCTACAGCTTGAAACAGCAGATTCACATAATTCATTTGGGCTCAAGGTATATTAATAGAACTCACTGTCAAGAATTAATACATGTCCTCACAAGCTGATTTAGTAGCCTGAGTGTGCTAGACGCTATCATATGCGAAAATACCCAGTTTATCACCTTGAAACCTTGCTATATCACACCTTGTCTGAGGCCCAAAGGATGCTAACAACAACAGTCAGCACAGCAACTTAAATATTTTCCAAGGCATTCGCAAAATATTTCAAGACAAACTTGTTCAAAGATCTGGTAACAGGATATACCACTCTTCAGTTGTAAAGTTGCTGCTGCAAATTCACTTGGCTAACTCTTATTCAATGACCTAGGCAGACTGACTTCAGAGTAGTGTTGCATGCTATTTCACAACAACCAAAGGCCTACAAAGGACAAGTACTTGAACTTGGTTATATTTTTCCATCATCAGACTGTAATGTGTCCAAATTATGTAAATTTACACCGTAAAACACAGGGTGCTAACAATGTAAGGGTTGTCCCCAACTTTTAAAAGACCTATCAGAGTCCTCCTTGCTAAGGAACTGGTCTGGAAATGCGGAGTCACTGAATTATAAGCAGTAGGTAGATATTTCTGTTTACCATAAAAAGTTATATTTCTAAATGTCATGAAAGCCGGTACTAGTTTCAGTCCAGTCTCCATTCTTGTTCAGAAATCTTTAAAATACAAACAGCCTCAAATTTRTTCTATACACTTTTGGCTCCTGTCTTAAATACAGAAAATAATTCTGCTCCAGCAGGCCAGCCCATTTATAAGTGTCCAGCAATAAATTTTAAAATGACAGGAGAACAATCTAATAAAAGCACTTTAACATCCAAAAAGAAATTGCTGCTCAAAGCACTTTTATAATTAACTTTCACACTGAAAGGAACTTTGGATGGCTGCCCTATTTTCTGTTTAATTTTGGTGAAGTAATCAGCTAAATRTCAAATCTGTTCATCACCTTGGCAATACAAAAGAACCAGTTAGCAGGATAATGCAAACAAATGAATTTCATGAATGCAACAAGATGCTGTGGAGACCCTGCATTTGAGGAATGGCATTCAGTAAATGCCTGATCACTGATTTTTAATATCAATAACTGAAATGCCAACTTAAGTTCTTACGAGCACAGCTGTTATATAAACTTAAAGTGACGAAATAAAGACACAACAAGACTACTGTATGGATCAAATCTTCTATTTGTGACAGAAATTAATGAGTTCTAGGGCAGCCTTCTTTCTTCAGTAAACTTGTCCTCTCCACAAACATTAAATAAAACAAGGCTTCTGTTAAAGCAGTTTAATTTGCTGCTATTGAACTCCTTTTACTCCTGAACTGCTATCGAGCTATTAATAAAGCAAGCAATACAGAACTTGTGAGGAGCTGCGTTAACAACTTTCTAATTTGAAATATCATACACAATAAACATTTTAACTCTTTGCTTTCCACCAAGCAGTTTAAGGCAGGCTTTCTAGCCTGGTCTTGGAATCAAGACTTTTCCCCTGCCCCCTCCTTTTTTTTTTTTTTTTTTTTTGGTTTGTTTGTTTTTTAATTATTGCTTTCTTCACCCATACAAAAAGCTGCTGAAGGCCTTTCATCATAGGTGGCCTCCTCCCACATTCCTGCGTGTCCCCTCTTAACCCTCAAGTGATCTGCAGATAGAGGGAAAATTTCTCAATGGTTTCTTCACATGGTTTSATCTCAAATTCCACGTTCCTGAGATGGGAAAGCCCTGCTGGCTATCAGCTGGTTTCCCACTACTAAATCCAGGGATAACACTGTCAACGTCCAGCTAGATGCTGCTGGTGAGCAGCACCAGCAGGTTACAAAGCTGGTTTGTTTTTATCACATGTGCTATGTATTAATAGTTCCATGTTAAAGCTAGAMCAGGGCTGGGAGTGAGGAGATGAACACTGACACTTGAGCAATTATAGGGCAATGAATTCAGTACAAAAGTAAAACAGCATAGCTGTACATCACCCCAAACACACATTTTCAATGTAATTTTTACACTGAAAATAAGGAAGGTAAAGGACAAAAGTGAACCTTGCACACAATGCTTTTTTTTATTTCAGTAGTCATTCTGCAGATAAAAATTCTTAGTGGCACTAAGAACTCTTCTGATTTATACTAGCTGAAGATTTGTCAGCTATTTTTAAAGTGAGATGATGTATTAATAGTGTGATGCAATTAAAATATCTAAACATATTATTCCAAGTAATCAAATCTACTGCAGCAATTGCATGGTAGCARCACTGATCAGTGAACAAAACTGTAATGACTTTTATAGCTACAGCTATATAACAGGGGCCACGGGACCTGATTTATAAGTCATTCTTTTATACTTTGCAGAACAGTATGGGGCCAAATAAAGGTTGAACTCAGTCAGTAACTTTAAAACCGGTGGCAATCACTTCTGCTTTGTATTTAAACTGACTGTGAATGGGCGCTTCGTGTCACAGCAACTTTGACCAAAGCTTCCCTCAAACTTCCCTCCTTCAGAATGTGGTTGTGCTGAAGAAGATGTATTTGACCTGCCTCCTGCTTACCTATTAAGAAGCAACTTTAAAGAAGGTCTAATGCATGTAGAGAATACTGTTACATGGCATGGCAAGGATCCTTCTAAAAGAAGAGGGAGTTAACTGTATCAGGCAGAAGGATGCATTGAAAACAGCAGTGTCTAAGCATCAACCTTGCAGCCATGCTGCAGGAAGAAATAAAACTCCAGAGCAAGATGAAACAAGAAGTTCCTTAGTTTGGACAAGAACAAAAGGATAAATAATACATAAACCTTTTCTCCCTAAGAAACATGAGGAAGGCAGTAACCCCACAGGGCCTGTCCTTTGGCACTCATATTTGGTCTAAGTTTGTTGCAGATAAACAGTACAGCTGTTCATCAAACCTAGTAGAGAATAAAGTATTTAAAAGAAAGAAAAGGATGGGGAAAAAATATCATTAAGACTCACATTCAAACTTCTTTCCTTTCTTCCCTTCGGGGGTAAAGCAAAGCTTGCTTTGATGTGAAGGGGAAGACAGTCTTTTAAAATATTATTTCTGTGGAGCTAGATAAAAGAAACCAGGACTACAATACTATCAGCCAAACAACTCCCATCTGCTCTAACTCATAGCTCGCACCTTGTATCGCTTATAACTACCCTCTACAAATACACACAAATAGCCTACGGATATACCTACCCTTCTTAGTCTTGCATGCCTCCAGTTTTACAGGATTGTCACTGAGTGGCCATAAACAAAGGAGGAGAAGAAATGAGAAAGCATCTCTCTTGCATTTATGCAAAATTCATCTGAAGTACAGCACCTTCCACTAAACCTCTGTTGGCAGTAATCGTTTCTAGAATTAGTACATGTCTGCAAAACAAATCTACAGAGAGCAGCTTAGTATAGTGGCAAAAAACAAACACTATCACCACCACTACAAACAAAAAAAAAAAAAAAAAAAAAAAAAAAAAAACCACCCTG